TACTACTTATTGATAATGTCAGTGTGCACTGATGCTTCAGTTTATATTGTCTGTGAGTACCGTAACTAATACTTGTGTGAATTTTCAGGCTGTTCCCGAAGGAAGCCCCTCAATTTTGTTTCAGCCTGTTGGAAAAGGAAACCCCCCAATCGATCATGCAGCTTCCCATACTTGCGTGATCCCCCTTTGTGGAGAGGATGAGCTGATCATGTATAATTTACTACTTATTACTACTGTCAGTGTGAAGCGATGTTTCAGTTTATACTGTCTGTGAGTACCAATAAGTAACCAGACTACAAATATTGTGTGAGTACGGTAAACACATTATCCATGTAAGTTGAATTCATTGAAGAGTAACTTTTTTACTTAATTATTTCAGCACATAGACGCGATTTGCTCACTCATACAGAAGTCTATGGTGAACAAAAAAATTGGCCTCATTGGTCCCTACTTTACGGTATTTTAGTTATTCAATATGATGAACCAGTGTAACGTGTTAATACCAATTCAACATTTCATTTCATTCACTAATGGACTGTTTTGATGTAGTATAAAATTCTGAATAAGGACATTAATGTTGCTAAGCACTGGGCAGAAGACAGGTTACTTCCGCGAGTTAATTGGTCAAATTTTGAAAAGGTAATTAAATAAAATAAAAGTTTATGTATTCAAACATTTGTCTAATTAACTGTGTGCACCAACAGTTTATATATTAAAACATTCGTTAATTGTCTGTGTGCACCAACAGTTTCTGTATGTGAACATTTGTTAACTGTCTGTGTGCAACAACGGTTTCTGTATTCAAACATCTCTTACATACCATTGTCAATAGGTTTTAATTCCATTGAATGTGGATGGCCTACATTGGATCTTGACGGAAGTTGACTTTAAAGCGAAGGTGGTTAGAGTGTATGACTCTTTGCGGAGTGCCAAATCTAAATCAACTGCCCATCATCTATGCATCAGACTACCGTATTTACTTAGTGTGATAAAATGCCCCGAGTCTGCTGCAGTTTCAGATGACTTCAAACCATGGCCTGCGGAGGTAGTTCCCGGTGTACCGCAACAACGAGGGTATCTAGTTTTTCACCCATGTTATTGGCTATGCAAAATAGAACCAAAATGTATGCAAGTGTTTTTAGTAAATATTATCATTTGCTTTTTCAGGAGTTCGGAGTGCGGAGTGATGACGATGGCATTTGCGGAGCATTTGGCATTGAAGTATCCTTTGACACTCGGATGTAACTACGACAACATGTTGGACATGAGAAGCCAGTTTGCGGTGCGCCTATGGCGTCTAAAGAAGACTGATGTTTGACACCGTTTAAATGACATTATTAGTGTATTTGACATTATGTTTTGTACAATAGTGTTGCGCTTTTTTGTACAAGGTTGTAGTTGTACACTGGAATGCCAAACTATAATGCTTCCATATTTTGTCAACATTTTCATGTTTTGGATAAGCAATTGTTAATAAAATCATGGGTTACAATAAAAATGTAACTAAAAATTATCATAGTCTTAGATTATTATTTAGCTATATTAAAAATTGTTAGCAATATAAAGCAGTTTAAAGTAAGAATATTTTAATGGGAACATAATGTTAGATAATACCAAAACTATGACGACTTCAAACAGTGAAACAAACTATAGAAGTAATTAGAATGCGTATTACAAGAAGAACCATATGAATCGTGGAATACACTTGTTTGTGGCATAACATAGGCTCCTAAACAAAAAGGTGTGCAAAATACACACACACTATATGTGCATTTACAACACAATCAATGTCATATTCACAATATCCATGCAAAAAACATGCACACTACACGTGCAATTACAACACACCCAAAGTCATATTCAAATCTAAATCTAAATATTGAACACTTGAACTTCCGACCTCATTTCCAGCCTCAACAACCGATGAAGCTTGGCCATTTTTTTTGGTAGACCGTACCTAATAATTGGAAAAATATTTGTTAGAGCACATGAAATGACAATCCATATTCATATATAAGTATAAAAATAACTTACAGTTTTGGTTTTCTTTCCCTTTTCAAGTGGTCCCTTAAGGCGGTTTTTTCGTGGTGCACCCTTTCTCTTGGAAGTTTTTGGGTCATGAATGATTTGCGTGAGAGGTGGAGCAGTGTCAGGTAGTTCAGTCATCACACCAGAAATAGAAGATTTAGAGGTGGAGCTTGTATTTGCACTTATTTGGTCCTCTATCCATTGCATGACAATGTTATACTTGTCCTCATCATCAACAATGGTGTTGGCTAGTTTTTCAAAATTGTTGCATAATTGGTGAAATCTAGCTTGTTCCACCGTTGTCACCCAACCGTCGTAATTGATTTTAACGCGTGTGTACTGTCTCTTGACGTCTCTTCTCCACCTTGTCATTATATAATAGTCGGGCAACATATTTTTGATGCCATTTCGAAGGAGCACAACCACCAAATGACGACACACGATACCCCTAAATTCAAACAAATGGCAACTACACACGCCATGACCACTTTCACGGTTGAACTCAACCACATAGTTGACGCACTTGTCAAACCCATTCGGCAATTGTTTGTCCTCGCTCACGTGATATGTTAGACCATCTCCACTATGTAGGTCACAAGAAAGCTTGCCAACCATTTCAGTTTGAAACTCTTTAAATTTGTCAAGGGTATAAAGTTCTTGAACCTGTTTTTCCATGCCGTAGATACTAATGCATGGAATGTTTTTAGAAAATGACTTTGCATCAGCTTGAAATTCTAGTTCGACTTTACTTCGCAATGCCCGCCCATATTGTTCAACGAACTGTTTAAGAGATGTTTTCGAATTAACGTAATCATCAAAAAACGCATGCATGCTCTCACTACGTTGTGTCGTAGACATGCCTACCCAAAATGTTGTCTTAAGATAACAAGGGACCCAACGGGCTCTTTCATTGTACATTGTTGTAAGCCAATCATTGTCTTGTAGAGCAAACCTGTAAAGTTTAAATGAATTTTACAAATTCATTTACGCTACACTGACCATTTTCTGTCTGTGAAACGCAAAACGTGTCGGTACGATGTCTTAAAGTGGCAGAAGGTCCCAGGCATGAACTAAGGTACACCGACACTTTTTGTCTGTGAAATTCACAAAGTGTCGGTAGGGTCTCTTTAAGTGGCAGAAGGTCCCAGGCATGAAATAAGGTACACCGACACTTTCTGTCTGTGAAATTCACAAAGTGTCGGTACGGGGTCTTTAAGTGGCAGAAGGTCCCAGGCATGAAATAAGGTACACCGACACTTTCTGTCTGTGAAATTCACAAAGTGTCGGTACGGTGTCTTTAAGTGGCAGAAAGTCCCAGGCATGAAATAAGGTATACTGACACTTTATGTCTGTGAAATGCAAAAAGTGTCGGTAAGGTGTGTTTAAGTGGTAGAAGGTCCTACGCATGAAATAAACTACACCGATACTTATTGTCTGTGCATTACATAATCTATCTGTGACACGTAAAAAGTGAAACTTAGTTAATGAATATTGGAGTGTACCTTTCGAGCATGGCTTTCCAATCTTCCTCAAAGGTCGTAATGTACTGAGATTCATAAACGGCATCATGTATGGCTGTCATGATATCATCTTTATGTACAAGTCCACCCATCTTTTCAGGTAACTTCTTCATTATGTGCCAGAGACACCATCGGTGCCTTGTGTTTGGGAAAACGATTTGGATGGCATTTTGCATGGCCCTATCTTGATCAGTTATAATCCCCATTGGAGCATAACCATCCATACACTCAAGCCATGTTTTGAACAACCATACGAATGTTGATGTATCCTCACTAGAAATGATTCCACAACCTAATAACATCGATTGCCCATGATGGTTAACACCAACAAACGGTGCAAAAGGCATGTCATAGCGGTTGGTGAGATATGTCGTATCAAATGTAATCACGTCTCCAAAATCCTTGTATGCATGTCGACACCTATTGTCCGCCCAAAAAACATTACGCAAACGTGAATCTTCATCCAAGTCAATTGTGAAGAAAAAACCTGGACATTGAGCTTGCATTTTTGTAAAAAAACCTTGGATGGCCATTGCATCCCCATCTCCTAATCTAAGTTGTCGAACTTTTTCTATGTAGTTCCTGCAGTCCTTTTCAATGAAAGGAAGTTGATCATATCCTCCGGCTTCTACAACTGCGGATTTGAAAGTTTTACAAAGACGTATTCCTGCAACGTCATTTACATCGATTTGGTGCCTAAGTTTCATTGTCAACTTCCTATTACAATGGAATAATCTAGACTTCGTGGGACTCATAGGATGATTATGGTTCAAAAAAACTTGTGATATTACCCAAGACCCGGCATAATCTGTCTTTGCTCTTATTCTTGCTAAGCAACCATTTTGCATGGAAGGTTGAGGTTTCAAACAGTTTTTCGACCTACTACCTCTGTTGCCTGCATGTGAGCACTCTACTACAAACGCAATCAAGTCCCCTTCTTTATCCTTCTTTGAAGTGCGGTGTCTAACAGGAAAGCCAACACTTTTGGCATACTTTTTGTAGAAATCATAAACTGCATCTTTTGTAGGAAACTCCATGCCTATCTTTGGAATTTGTTCACATTCATCAACAATGTTATCTCCATCTGTTCACATAATCAAATAATTATTTTACATTAACTCCTTCATAGATACAACAATCATATTTGCTCGTATACATTATTGTAGTAGGGTATATATTAACAATATTCATAGATCATTTTTCATAGGTATACATTAACAAAATTCATACATCAAAGACTTGTTTGTAAGTATACATTAACAACATTCATACATACATTAACTCATTGTACATAGATACAACACTCATCTTTGTAGGTATACATTAAATTATAGGGTACATATTAACAACATTCATTCATAAAATTAATTTTTATAGGTATACATTAACAACATTCATACATCAAATACATCTTTGTAGGTATACATTAACAACATTCACACATACATTAATTCATATTTGTAGGTATACATTAACAACATTCATTGATAAAATCAATTTTTATAGGTACACATTAACAACATTCATACATCAAATACATCTTTGTAGGTATACATTAACAACATTCACACATACATTAATTCATATTTGTAGGTATACATTAACCATATATACATTAGTTTTCGGTACACACTGACACTGTGTATGTAAGCTGTCTGTGTGTGTCAAATAAAATACCTCCGCCATCTGCGTTTGTCTTCCCCCTGCTACTTCCTTCCCCGTCAAAGTTTTCATCATCCAGACCCTCAAAGATCAGAACTTCGTTGCCACCTTGTGTCGCAGCTCTACCACCCGTCGCACCTAAGTCTTCATCCCCAACTTTGTCCGGAGCTCCATCTTCTTCGTTCACAAATCCACCATTTCGGTCCTCCATCGCAGCTCCGTCTTGTTCGTTCACAGGTCCACCATTTCCGACGCTTAGAGCTTCTTCGTTTCTTCCATTTCCGACCTCCGTCGATCGTCGCAGGCAGGAATCGTCCAATGCTCCATCGTTTCCAGTCCCCTGTTCATCCACCATCACATATGCTAGAAAATCATCCATGATATTCGCAACAAAAAAATAAAAAAAAAACAGAGACAAGGGCCGGAAGAAAGAATGAACAAGGGTGAAGGATGGGAAGAGAAAGAAACGTGCGCAACTTTGGGGAGGGGAGGGGAGGGCTGTGCGAGTGAAAGGAGTAAAGAAAGCTGTAAATAATTAGACCTTATATATGATGTACCCCAGGGTGTAACCCAGGGTGTACACCAACACTTTTTGCAAATTTTTCGTCAACGGTTATTATGTTCGTATAACCAAACAACCAACATACCTACTACCTAGTAGTGTACAACTATATTTTATTACAATCGCTCTTAACAACCAAATATTACGCGTGTGTGAATGGAAGATTTGCGCCCATAACAACCAACATACGTCGTACATAAATGATCACATGGGTGCTAATGATTTTCTTTGCTTTTCACTTTGCTAGGACCTACTACAAACTTAAATAAATACTCCGTACAGTATAATAAATCCGAATAGACTAAATTGAAATCATAATTGGCAAATAAAATACGGCTATAAATTTATCAAACTAGATAAAATTACATTTGAACAAATTAGACCAAATTATACAAAAAATCTCAATAAAAAAAAACAGTGTAATTTGATTTTTCTTTTTCATATTAACATTGTGGTATTTGTGGATGCATGAATTGATTAAATTTAGGGAAAATTCTCAAATAGGTCCTCATACTATATCAAAAAGGGAAAACTATCAAATAAGCCCCCGTACTATAACGAAAAAGTCGATTAGGCATTCGTACTTTACAAACACTCAATTAAGTCCTTGAACTATTAAAAAATGTTCAATTAAGCCCTTTTGGTCGGTATGTAATCGGTTTCCCGGTTAAATGTAACCCGTTTCCCGACAGCCGCCGTTGCTGAGGTTCGAGCACATCATCGCCGTCGTCGCCGTTTAACCGGGAAACCGGTTACTTACCGACCGAAAGGACTCAATTGAACGTTTTTAATAGTTCGAGGACTTAATTGAGTGTTTGTAAAGTACGAGTGTCACGCCCCAGACCGCAATCCAAGCGCGTGTACAACCGCCGCATAATCAAGTGACGTCACCCGAGAGTCAACCTCACTTGATTACACAAGGCGTTCGAGAAAATAATCCATCCATACTCAGTAGTAAACATACATAACAACATCACATTTAAACCAATGAATAGCGGAAATATTCAACGGTAAGTCATAAGCCACAACCGGCCAATAACATGGGCATGCAAGCCCCAAAAGAATAGTTTATGACAAATAAAAATATCCATGAGCAATGTTTGGTAATTTGAAATAAAATGAGGAAGCACGAACCACGTCTTCCTTGATTGATGTCACCCGTAGAAAGGTGCAGGTAGCAAGCCCTAGCTTCAACCTGAAAATGGTGGGGGCCCCCGAAGGGGTCAGTACAAGTACCGAGCGAGTAGCAGGCTAAATATAGAATAACTAGCGTTTCAAGTATAAGACCCAAACATAGGATGATACATATACGTATAGTCCTTCCCCCAAGTTTGAAATACATATTAGTATACATACACTTGGAAATACCCGACCCGTAGGTCATTGTTTATTTGGGAAAATAATAGTAGCCAATATCCTTGACTTAAATCCCAACCCACCCATATACCTATGAGTGTATAGAACTCCTCCTTGGTCAAATAAATTATCATAAGGACACCGCCCGGTCCTAGATCATTAAATGTAATCTATGAGTTTTGAGGATACACGCCCGATCCTTGGGTACTCCACCCTATAATTGAGTTTTGAGGATAACCGCCCGATCCTTGGGTACTCCACCCTATATAACCGAGTTTTGAGGATAACCGCCCGATCCTTGGGTACTCCACCCTATATAACCGAGTTTTGAGGATAACCGCCCGATCCTTGGGTACTCCACCCTATATAACCGAGTTTTGAGGATAACCGCCCGATCCTTGGGTACTCCACCCTATATAACCGAGTTTTGAGGATAACCGCCCGATCCTTGGGTACTCCACCCGACCTATGACTTACCACATATCACGCTAGATAGGGTCTATATCATATTTAGTCATTCATAACTAATTCACTACATAAAGCTTATGTATCACAATCCATGCAAATCCATGCAATTATATAAATGTACAATTAACTAATATCAACCGACATTAATTAATCCACTATCCATCGGTCAACGTTGTCGTTGACCGCCATTCAAGCCTTGTACATATCAACTTAATCATCATATAAATAAGTTAATAATAATCATTTGTGCTTCTTTGACATTCCCAACAAATATGCATTTCATATTATTTCTCATATCATGTTTCATGTATAAACAATTAATTCTTTTCATACAAACTTATCTATGTTGGCTAATCACATGTTTAAATATCTTTTAAACATCATTATGAACACTTATAACATTTATTCAGGTAATCTTATAATTAACCCAAAAGTTATAAGATATTAAGCCGTCCACTCACCTTGAACTAGCGTTATGAAGTTCTACCCTTCTTGGTTGAACTCCGGTGAAACTCCGGCGACTTTTGGTCAACTCCGGCGACAACTCCGGCGACTCTTCCAACTTTGTGAAATCACTTGAAATACCTTTCACAAGTTCCTAACAAGGTTTTATAATCATAAAACCCATATTAATACAAATAACCTCAAAACGGTTGTTTTCCGGTGAACCGGTCGTTTTGGCTTCTAAGTCCGTTCTTGGACATAGAATCACTTTCCAACCCATTAATCCATACTTATAACATGTAGAACCCTCTTAAGGATTCTTCCCATGATATATATCTCATATGGTAGAAGAAAAATAAAGGAGGAGTTATAATAAGTTCATTACCTTGATTATTCACACTTTTCCCAACTTTTTCCCTCTTTAATCTTCCTTCTTTGAGCACTTATGCTTGAGCTCGAATTTTGCAGCTATGGAGGATGGTTTGAGAGCTTCCTTCTCCTTTCTTGATGGGGTTGGTCGAAGTTGATGATAGGTGGGAGAGAGGACACCCACTTTTGTCTCAAATGGCAAATAAGAGAGGGTGAGGGGTCCTCCTTGGTACTATAGATGCCAAATGATCCTCCTCCACATATCCTTTGGTCATTCCAGCCCCAATAGGTCTTGTTGAGCACACAAAAACGTGGGGTGGCCCCCACTCATGTGGGAGGTCATCCCTTTGTGTCCCGATGTGTACAATCGGTCCCGAAAGTTGTATTTTTCGGACTGTTTTAATCACAATTTATTTTATCGGTAAAATAAAGTATATTATGTGTTCCCAATCATAACGCCCCTTTGAAATAATATATATTCCAAAACGTTAATTCGGAAGTCTCCGGAATTCATTTCTGGGCTGCTATTCGTTGAATTGTCGGTACGGTAATTGGGCCTCTTTTTCCCAATCGGTCAACTCTGCGCCTTTCCACGACCCAAATAAAATATCCACCACTATATAAATATTATCTTGACCAAGATGAATAAATATGTTGTCTCGGGAGTGTCGGGCGGCCCCCGCTCCCGGTGTGGGTCCCACGTGCAATTTACTAATCACGCGAAAGAAATAATAAAAATTTACAACTTCGTAAATTCATTAATCCTTTAATAAGGTTCGATACATTATTTACATAAAAGTAAATATATTTGGGGACGGTGTTACAAGTTCACCCCCCCTTATTTGGGATTTCGTCCCCGAAATCCAAGTATCTAATCGAAAAGAAATGGGTATTGCTCCCTCATGGAGACCTCGGTCTCCCAAGTTTCTTCTTCGACTCGATCACTCCTCCAAAGGACCTTTACCATAGGAATCTCCTTATTCCTAAGCTTCTTCACCTGTTGACCAACAATCTTCACTGGTTCCACCGCATATTGCAAGTCCTCACGGATCTCTACCGGTGGTCTCTCAAGAATATGAGATGGGTCTCGTATGTACTTCTTGAGCATTGATACATGAAACACGTCATGTATCTTCTCAAGTTCAGGCCTCAACTTGAGTCGGTAAGCCGCGGCCCCGATCCTTTCAAGGATCTCAAACGGACCTATGTATCGGGGGTTAAGCTTCCCCCTCGATACGAATCGGATGATGCCCTTCCAAGGAGAAATCCTTAGGAAGACCTCATCACCGACTTCGAACTCCAACGGTCTCCGCCGTTTATCAGCATAACTCTTCTGTCGGTCCTGAGCAGCCTTCAGTCTATCCCGAATGATCCTCACCTTGGCCTTGGTGATCTCAACCAGCTCACATCACCCGCTCGGACTGTCCATCGGTCTGTGGGTGAAAAGCTGTGCTGAACTTCAGTTTAGTCCCCAAAGATGCTTGAAACTTTGGCCAAAATCGGGATGTGAATCGTGGATCCCTATCCGAGACAATGGATATTGGGACTCCATGTAATCTCACAATCTCCTCCGTGTATAGCTTGGCCAATCTTTCAAGAGGATAAGTAATGTTGATAGGCAGAAAGTGTGCACTCTTGGTGAGCCTATCAACCACTACCCATACGGCATCGTAGTTGTTCACTGTTCGTGGCAGCCCCACCACGAAGTCCATGGTCACATGTTCCCACTTCCACTCTGGGATGGTGAGCGGTTGTAAGAGCCCTGCTGGGTGTTGATGCTCTGCCTTAACTTGCTGGCAAGTAAGGCATCGACTCACAAACCCTGCGATATCCTTCTTCATGCCTGACCACCAGTAACTTTCCTTCAGATCTCGGTACATCTTAGTACCCCCTGGATGCATGGCATATGCTGAAGAATGAGCCTCCTCAAGTATAGCCCTCTGGAGCTCCTCATTCTTTGGTATACACACACGATCCTTAAATAATAAAAGACCGTCACCACGTCCCCGAAAATTCTCGACGGGCCCCTCAAGGATCCGTTCGCGGATCTTCTGACATTCCTCATCAATGGCCTGACATCTACTGATCTCACTCAGCAATGTAGGCCTCACCTCGAATCTAGCAATGAGCGCCCCGCTCGTGGATACCTCCACGTGTGCCCTCAATGCCTGTAGACATGTGAGTAGCGTCCCTGACGTACTCTTTCTGCTCAGTGCGTCGGCCACTACATTGGCCTTTCCGGGATGATAGTCGATGATCAAGTCATAGTCCTTGATCAACTCCATCCATCTCCTCTGCCTCATATTCAACTCTTTCTGAGTGAATACATACTTCAGGCTCTTATGATCAGTATAAATGTGACACGTCTCCCCGTAGAGATAATGCCTCCAAATCTTCAATGCAAACACTACCGCCCCCAACTCTAGATCGTGAGTAGGGTAGTTCACCTCGTGTTTCCTCAATTGCCTAGAAGCATAGGCAATCACCTTACCGTTTTGCATCAGTACACACCCAAGCCCTTGGATGCTAGCGTCGCTATAAATGTCATACCCTATCCCCTGTATGGGTAGGGCAAGGACTGGTGCTTCGGTAAGTCGTTTCTTCAATTCAAGGAACCCCTTCTCACATTTGTCGTCCCATATGAACTTGGCCCCTTTCTTTGTGAGCTTCGTTAATGGGGACGCCAATACGGAGAATTTTTCCACAAATTTACGATAGTATCCTGCTAAGCCAAGGAAACTACGTATCTCCTTCGCATTCCTGGGTCTCTCCCAATCCATGATCGCCTTTATCTTGGCGTTATCCACAGCTACGCCCGAACCGGATATGACGTGACCGAGAAAACCAATCTCCTTGAGCCAAAATTCGCATTTAGAGAACTTGGCAAAGAGTTGCTTTTCCCTTAGCCGATCAAGTATAAGCCTCAAATGATGTTCGTGCTCCTCCTCACTCTTGGAGTATATCAAGATATCATCAATGAATACTATCACAAATTGATCTAAGTATTCACTAAACACCCGGTTCATCAAGTCCATGAATGCTGCCGGTGCATTGGTTAAACCAAATGACATCACAAGAAACTCGTAGTGACCATATCTAGTGCGAAATGCACTCTTAGGTATGTCACTCTCCTTGATCTTCAACTGATGATACCCCGATCTCAAGTCAATCTTCGAGAATACTATGGCCCCTCGAAGTTGATCAAACAAGTCATCAATCCTAGGTAAAGGATACCTGTTCTTGATTGTGACCTTGTTCAACTGTCGGTAGTCGATACACATTCTTAGCGTACCATCTTTCTTCTTTACGAAGAGTACGGGTGCTCCCCACGGTGAATGACTGGGTCTGATGAACCCGTTGTCCAGTAGCTCTTGTAGTTGGACCTTCAACTCTTGAAGTTCGGCCGGTGCCATTCGATAAGGAGGAATCGAAATGGGTTTGGTTCCCGGCTCCACTTCGATTACAAATTCAATCTCTCTATCGGGTGGAAGCCCCGGTAGGTCCTTTGGAAAGACGTCCGGGTACTTGCACACGACTCGAACATCCTTGATGTCGACTTCTTTCTTCGTATCATCCATCACGTAAGCAAGGTATGTGTGGCACCCCTTCCTCATCATCTTCCGTGCTCTCATTACGGATATGATGCAAGCATTGGATTTTCCTCGATCTCCCTCGAAACATACCGTGTTTCCTTGATCATCCTCGAGCTCCAACACCTTGGTGTAGCAATCTACTCGAGCATGGTGTCTCTCGAGCCAATCCATTCCTAGGATTGCGTCGAACTCCAACATGCTTAGAGGTACAAAATCACAAGTCAAGGGTTGACCCGTCACTTCCACCTCACATGATGGATAGTAATGATTTCTCTCCACATCGTCTCCTAACGGTGTGGAGACTAGCAACGTTTGCGTCATAGGTGTCAATGGCACGTCAAGGCCCTCGGCGAACGCCTCGCTCACAAATGAGCGTTGTGCCCCGGTATCGATGAGGATCCTCGCACACCTACCATTGATCTTTAATGTTCCTACATTTATACATCATGTAAGATACATTTTCTAAGGTTTTTACACATCATTAGGATGTTATTAGGTTCACACTAATGTTTGGAATCAAACGGGGGTCCAAACGTAGAAGAACGGGGCGAAAAAATCAATTTTCGGGTGTTGGGGGTCCACGCACGGCGTGCCTGGGTGGCACGCACGGCGTGCCTGGGTGAAAATCGGAGATCCACCACTGCAGGCTACGCACGATCGTGCGTAGCTGGTCACGCACGATCGTGCGTCCCACGCACGGCGTGCCTGACCTGCACGCACGGCGTGCGTCTGCGCGGAATAAGGCCAGAGGCTACTGCCTCGCACGCACGGTCGTGCGTCTGTGGGTACGCGCGATCGCGCGTAGTTGTTTTTAGCCCGTTTCGCCCCGAATTCGCGGGGTTTGACCCCGGGGTGGCCCGCACCCAAACCCAATGACTTATATGACCCAAATAAGCCTAGAAATACAGGAAAATAAATGTATTACCTGCAACGGAGTCCGGGTTTGCTCGCGCATCCGCCTCGGTCATCGCGTAGACTCGTGCTTGGGTCCCACCTTGGTTGACAGATGCGGCATGGCTTGTGGATGCACCGCCTCTTCCAGTACCGCCGTTTGACGGTCCCGCACGGTTTCTTCCCGTCATGGTCCCTCCCCCGGCTCCCGAGGCACTCTCTTGCATCAATTGAGGGCAATTGGCCTTCATATGGCCCGCATTCCCGCACTTAAAACACCTCGGTGGTTCATTACACTTCCCAAAGTGTTGTTTTGAGCAATTGGGACATCTAGGTGGCCCCGAGTTCTGTGGCCTAGGTCCGTGCCACCTCGCATCCCTATTCTTCTTTGCCGGTGGAGCCGGCGTCTTGAATGAACCACCGCCACCACCACCACCCCCGTGGTTGTTCCTTCGAGAATGATCGGGTGGCCCCGAATTATTCCACTTCCTCTTCTTCGCCTCTTCGGCGTCCCTTGCTTTCCTCTCATTCCACTGGGCCTCTCCAAGAAGACCCTGTTCCACCACCTCGCTAAATGACATGTGGCGAGAGTACGTAGCTCGGTCACGGATATCCAAGAGTAATGCATCCCAGAAGTGCTCCGTCATGCGGTTCTCATCAACCGCGTACTCTGGCAAGAACCTCGCCAAGGTTCTAAACTCTTGTTCCAGCTGCTTAACCGTGCCGCCATCTTTCTGTTTGAGGTTAGTGTACTCTCTCCGTTTCACATTCACCTCGTACTCGGAGTAGTATTGAGCATAGAACTCTAGCTCAAAGTCCGCCCATGTTATTTCCCCATGGTACTTCCCTTCCACGCTCTCCCACCACGTAGAGGCTATCCCTTCAAGTAGCCGTGAAGCGACAGTCAACTTCACGTCCGGTGTGATTTGCATGTCTCTTGACGCATCCTTCACCTTCTTAATCCAATCGGCGGCAACGGTAATGTCACCGGTGCCGTCAAAGGACCTACACCCCAAGGCCCTAGCCTCCTTGAGGTACTTGGAGATTCTCACAACAAAACCTCCTTCACGCCCACCTTGTGACGCCGCTGGGGTGGCCACGGAAGCTCCCCGGCTCCCTTGACCCGAACCACCACGAGAGCCACGCCTCGCTTGGCGCCTAAGGTCTCTCCTCAGTTTCTCCTTTTGATACCACTCAAGTAATTCACCCATTTGGGCGAAGCGGGCATCACTTTCATCATTGTCCTCATCGGTGTATGTGTCACCCCCATCATATGGGGTCTCCTCATGCTCTGTCTCAGGAACATACGTAGAGTCATAATCCTCGGTGTTGGTTTCATACACCGAGCTTACATGGCCATCACTCACAGTTTGAGCTTGATGACCTCCACGGCTTCCACGGCCTCCACGGCCTCCTCTTGAACCCCGAGATGCAGCCCGGCTTCCCCTTTGGGATGTTACCGGCGCCTGCCCCCTCGGATTGTTCCTGGTCCGCATTCGCCTGCCCTCCATTTCTGAAAGAAATATGGATGAGTCATTAGACTCCTATAAATGTCAATCGACGGAAAAACGTTACAGACACATATTGGCCCAAGTCACCCCCATACCAATTGTTAAGGGTACCGTCTTAACAATTAGAGGCCTTGCAACTTAAGCACCAATAGTCCTATAAACGTCAAAATACAATGCTCATGGTTTTCGGTAAAAACTCTTTTGTAAAATCTGTTGTGAGAGGTTGATTATATAGTTTAGAACTGAGATGGCTCTGATACCACTTAATTGTCACGCCCCAGACCGCAATCCAAGCGCGTGTACAACCGCCGCATAATCAAGTGACGTCACCCGAGAGTCAACCTCACTTGATTACACAAGGCGTTCGAGAAAATAATCCATCCATACTCAGTAGTAAACATACATAACAACATCACATTTAAACCAATGAATAGCGGAAATATTCAACGGTAAGTCATAAGCCACAACCGGCCAATAACATGGGCATGCAAGCCCCAAAAGAATAGTTTATGACAAATAAAAATATCCATGAGCAATGTTTGGTAATTTGAAATAAAATGAGGAAGCACGAACCACGTCTTCCTTGATTGATGTCACCCGTAGAAAGGTGCAGGTAGCAAGCCCTAGCTTCAACCTGAAAATGGTGGGGGCCCCCGAAGGGGTCAGTACAAGTACCGAGCGAGTAGCAGGCTAAATATAGAATAACTAGCGTTTCAAGTATAAGACCCAAACATAGGATGATACATATACGTATAGTCCTTCCCCCAAGTTTGAAATACATATTAGTATACATACACTTGGAAATACCCGACCCGTAGGTCATTGTTTATTTGGGAAAATAATAGTAGCCAATATCCTTGACTTAAATCCCAACCCACCCATATACCTATGAGTGTATAGAACTCCTCCTTGGTCAAATAAATTATCATAAGGACACCGCCCGGTCCTAGATCATTAAATGTAATCTATGAGTTTTGAGGATACACGCCCGATCCTTGGGTACTCCACCCTATAATTGAGTTTTGAGGATAACCGCCCGATCCTTGGGTACTCCACCCTATATAACCGAGTTTTGAGGATAACCGCCCGATCCTTGGGTACTCCACCCTATATAACCGAGTTTTGAGGATAACCGCCCGATCCTTGGGTACTCCACCCTATATAACCGAGTTTTGAGGATAACCGCCCGATCCTTGGGTACTCCACCCTATATAACCGAGTTTTGAGGATAACCGCCCGATCCTTGGGTACTCCACCCGACCTATGACTTACCACATATCACGCTAGATAGGGTCTATATCATATTTAGTCATTCATAACTAATTCACTACATAAAGCTTATGTATCACAATCCATGCAAATCCATGCAATTATATAAATGTACAATTAACTAATATCAACCGACATTAATTAATCCAC